CTCAAATTAGAGTATGTCCATGGGGGCAAGTGAAGGCTTTAAAGACTATGCCCAGAAGTAGAGAGACTTGGATGGAAGAGTCCAACCCCCATTGTCTGATAAGGAGTTGGTTGATATGTTTCTGGGTACGCTATCTGGTCCATTATTTAATCATTTGATCGGTAGCTCGTCAGCAGGTTTCACCGAGCTGATTCTGACTGGAGAAAGAGTAGAAGCTGGGATCCGGAGTGGAAAGATCCAGAAAAATACCTCTTAGAGTACAGAGAAAAAGTTATTTGGTGGCAAAAGGGAAGCTAATGATGTGCACGGCCAGAAGGGGCATAGCAAGGCAGACTACCACCAATCTGTGGGGGCAATGTTGATCTCTAGTTCGGCACGCACACAACGACCACAACAACGAAACAATCAGCCAAGGATGGAAGGACCTCAAAGGCAGTTCACCCAAATCAACATGCCATTGCCACAAGAATTGAAACATATGTTGAAGATGAATCTGATTACGGTGATAAACCCTCATTCAAACCCTAAGACTTCCTCTCCTAACTACAATCCGGGTGCAAGGTGTGCTTATCATTCTGGTAGCCCATGGAACAATACTAACGATTGTTGGGCGCTGAAATACAATATTCAGAATATGATTAACGCCAAGGAGATCGAATTCGACCCTCCTGAGACTCTCAACGTGATCACTGCTCCCTTGCTAAAACATGGCTAGGATTGAAAGCATTTTTGTTCATTTGAATTCTAAAGTTGTATTTTCTTTGCTTATTCGAACAGTTATTGTCATGTAAAACTTTATTATTTCATTAATTCATTACACATGTCTGTCTTGAATTAATTTGTTTTCATTATGCTTAAATTGCTTTATATTTCCTTTTCGTGATATTCAACTCTCGACTAAAAAACGGTAAGCCTTTAGAGGGAGGATGACGAAAATGATACCATAATCTCTACAGTATGCTTTTGAACAGACCCCACTAGTGATGTACAGACGCTGCTTCAAATCCCAAACAGTGGAGTTATAAGGAAGATAATCCCTAGTCAACCCCTTTGAGCCAAAGAAGTAGGAGTTTTCTTTCACACAAATTAAAACCCTTAATCACAACCTAGGGAAGGGTAGTTTTCTCAGTTAATCCAGGTGCACAATGAATGGCATCAAAGACGTCCTTCCAAAATAAAAGACAGTGACGGTTCCCATAATCGTCAAGACAGTCAGTCATTATCTCTCGAAATAAAAGCGTATTAAGTCAAAACCTATGAAGGAGACTTAAGAAAAAAACTGGGGCATCCCGCTGACTGTAATCACAAAAAGAAACAGTTCAAGCAAAAGATGGGGATAATAAAATCAAAAAGAAAGAGGTCCTACAAACCCTCAACAAAAATGACTGGCTATTCAAAATAAACTGTCAGTACCCGAATCATCACTGGAATATCAGAGCAAAGACTTAAACGGGATCTAAATGCACAATTAACTAAGCATAGGACTGAAGGACATCGCGAAGAACGGGTGGGTACAAATAAAATTTGAGCCTTTATCCTTTGCTTCTTAAACCGTGAACCAGGCTACGTTATAACCCTTAAAAGTCCTAGCTGAAGCATGGGTTAGTTCGAGAGCATACTGTTACAAAAGGTATCCTGACTCCTATAAGGTTTGCTATAAATCCTGAGTTGACATCACACTTTTACAAAATTTGTTTGTTTTACTAAAAAAGGAATTTTCAAACTTCAAGACAGACATAAGCTTTGCATTCTTAAAATAATATTGTTTGCATATGACTATTTGTTCAACAACAGAGAAATTCGCGTGACGATTATCTAGTGAACAAAAAACCTTCTCAATAAAAAGGATCACCTCAAATGGAAAAACACTTCCAACCAAGGGACACGGCATGAACATTGTCCATTATCTGGGGCAGTCAAGTCAAGATTCAAGGAATCTCTCAAAGATGCCAAATAGCCAGGGGCAGATCTCCATCTGAATCACTCGGGGCATTGGGCATGAATCCCAGCAATGAATCTTGTACGATCAAGCAAACATCTTCTGGTAGTGTGGCAACACTTACTACTTGTTGTACCCCAATTTTTGACCTAAGATCCCACTTGCATTTTTGCATTTTTTATACAAAAGTCAAGGTCACTAAATACGGTTGGTTTTAACCTCTTACCTTCGAGCTTTGACTATGTGAAGATTGTCAAGTGCTTTGAAAATTCTTAGCCTATGTATCATTAACTTCTACTCCAGCATGTGTATTTCTCGTTCCTTTGTTTTCATTTGCAGGAAACAGATCTGAATCAAGAGCATCAGGCGTCACGCCTCAATTAGGGTTCAGAATCTCAAGCCAGAAGTACAGTTAATCGTTGGTTCGTGAAGACTGATTCATCAGGAGAATCGTGTGTTTATTTCCGCGCCTTGTTCGACAAGTGGTCTTGAGCTTCTCTACAACTCTCTCAGAGCACAGACAAGATTTCATCATCACTGGTTCACATGTGCATCAAGATGCTTTGGAATGCGAAGAAAGATCAAGTTTGTAGGTCAATTCGAAGCACTTTGACCAAAAGTCAATACTTACACATCCAAGTTCAAACGATCGTAACTTTTCATTATTCAACATTTTTGAATGGTTACTTTTGCGTACAATTTTCTTTGACGTCATCTCTAACCCCTCTTTACCAGTCAAGGTCTGATTAGGTGCGGAGGATCATCAAAAGTTCGGATACTTAGAGGTCACTTTGATGACTGTGGCCTAATCTCAAGTAACAATTACTCGACTTTCAAGGATTGTAACTATTTCGATTTTCATCATTTCGGGATGGTTCTTTTTGCAACATGTCACAAATGATGTCGTCTACAAGATTGCTTCAAGGATCTACATCCGAATGCGTTTGGAAGGCCATGAATTTCGCTTGAACATTTTAGGCTTAGAATTGATTTCGTATTGAGATTGTTCTCCACTAAGTCAAGGGTAAAGGCAAGATGTTGAGTTTGAGGATTCATTGATTATATATTGCTATAATACAAGTTGCTTGTATTCGAGCATTAGTAATTAATGAATTAAAATTGGATTTAGATCAAGTTTCTTTGTTTGTTCATCAAGATTCGGTTCATGGTAAAAGGTTTAGGTGTTTTATTTGGAATGCATTTCAAGGTAAAAAAAGACCATTCAAGGAATCTAAGTCCATCAATTCTACAAGGACTATTTCTAAGGAAAAGTTCTTATTCAATCCAAGAATTTGATACAAACTTTAAAGAAAATTTCAAGATCATTGATTCAAGGATATTTGTCATGTCTAGTTCAAAAGTGGAGAATGCATCATGCTAATTTTTTAGGCATATCTCAAGTTTGCAATTTCAAAAAATCTCAAGACAAATCCATTCCAAACTCAAATGAAATATTTAAAGTTACATCCAAATTCAAGACTTGTTACAAATTTCAAATTTCATTACAAATATTATAGTCACAAAATCACATGAAAAACATTGTAAATCCTAAAGCCTATTTTAAACTATCCTTCATCAATTTTCAAAATACTAAGTCTAAGTCTATGCTATTATTTTCAAGCCCATTTTCCTTGCTTCATGATGCATCAAATTGCTCCATAACTTGTACCAATGTTGTCCATAAATCAGCTGCTACAAACACTTCAAAACAGTCCAAACCTTGCTTCAAAATTATCCATACTGTATGCATATCAGTCCTAAAAACATGTTACTGCAATGCTGCTCCAAATCCTGTCAAACCTGTCCAAAAACAAGTCAAAATTCTGCACAAATAATGCCAAAAACCTGTCCAAAAGCAGTATAAAATTTCACAAAAATAGAGGATGCAAATCCTGCCTTAGAAAGGGAAAAATCAGCATATCAATTTGTCCAAGACCCACAAATTTTCCCTCCAAAAAATTCATTCTGAAGGGGGGAAAACAAAGTAAAAACCTGTAGAAATTTTCTAATAATTTGGGGCTCCAAGTGGAGAACAGGCTTGAGAATATCACCTGCTGTAAAAACAACAAAAACACTACACACTACCTATCATCTAACCTCACTTAACTTGAAAAAACCATTCACAGTAAACCCAGCTCTTCCATCACAAAGCCCCCTAATCGCCTCTATTCACCTTCCAAACCACACATCAATAACACTTTTATTCACATATGCTATCTAAATCTCTCAATTCAACAACACTTACTACAAGCCCTTTCAAACATCAGCATTGACGTTATTGTTGGTGTCACCAATGAAGAGGTATTGAGAATCGGAGAATTTCCTTCAGCAGCTGCTGCGTGGATAAATAAAAATGTAGTTGCTTATGTACCGTCCACCAATATCACGGCAATAATCCCAAATGTTGTTCCTGCCTTGAACTCTCTCCACTCATACAGCAACAAAACAAAAACTAACAGTAGTAATATCTTTTCCTTTCCTTTTTCTCTACCCTTTCCTTCATCAATCACTCGCCCTACCCCTTTCCCAACTTCTCCTTCAATTCCCCCACCTACTGTACAAACCTTCAATAATCATTATTCAAGAATCATCCATAAAATCTCTCTTCAACTTCACCCTGCAGATATTAAAAATGCACAGAAAATCTACACAAAAACAACCAAAAATTTCATAGAAAATGTCTACCTCAACCTCACTCCAAACGATCTCAGAACTTCTCAACACAACCTTAATTCAGAACCACCTGCATCAGACAACAACAACAACTCAGAAGCATTCAAAACATACAACAACAAAAATTCGGAATCCATAAGAGTTGAAGAGAAAAACTGGAACAAACAGAACATAGATTTTCAACCGAGTCACGTTGTTTTCATTGTTTTTGCAGATTAAGTATTTGGTTGAAAAAAACGAAAGAAATGGAAACATTATTACCACCGTCTTCCACCTGCTAGCACAAAAACGCTACCATACACATCTCCTCAAAACTCCCATCTCTCCGCCGCTTCAACCGCCGCCATCTCTTTCTCTCGCTTCCCTCCGCCCTAACCGATCTTCAGCAATGACTTTTGGAGCTTCCACCGAACTTTCACACTATCTTGCAGTACCATCCGTTAGACCTAATTCTCGCTACTCTCAATGCACCGCCGGAATCGCTTCACCTACATGCTTGATGTTGAACCGAAATCGCGAGAAGGCTTCAAATGGGGTCGGTGAAAAAAAGGAAGAAGCTGCGGCGCGAGAGGTAGAAGGAGAAGAACGCCGGATTGGAAGCTGTGGTAGCCGCCGTCGCGATTTTGAGAAGACAAAGGTACTATGTGATGTTTTCCTTACCCTAATCCCTTTTCTAATTATTTGTCTTATTATAACTCTTTTCTTTTTATTTAATTCTATAATCCTATTATTATAACTCTTTTCTTTTATCTATTAATTTAATTCAATAATCCTAATATGATTAAGTAATGTGGATGGATGTTATTGATTGGGTCGGTAGGGCCATCTGAGGCCCATTGAATTTTTAATTCTGAATTGTTTACAATAAAAAGATAACTCCTGGGCCTTTTCTGGATGGTTTTTGCTCTCAATACAGAGCTTGCTATCTCTACACCCTCCCAATTTTCTGCCTCACCTTTCCTTATAATTAGTTTAGTTTAAATTTAAATAGGCAATCTTGAGATTAATTTAGTTTATAGTTAAATTAGTTTAGATATAATTTATTAATTTTAGAGCTTTAATAATTTTATAACTTTAGAATTTTGTAATTAGTAGAATTATTTTAGTAAATAACCTTAGGATTTTAATTTAGTTTAAACAATTTTTCTAGATAATTAATTACATCCTCCTTATTTGTATTTAAAAAATTCTTTGCCATTATAATTTCTCGGCGCCCTTAGGTCATTAATCTGTTTAGTTATATTTATTTTCTTGTGAATTTTGATTGCTTATATTTCGATGTCTATTTTATTTTGCTCGCTCCATTTATTCCAAGGGAAATGTTTTTAACTTTGTTGACTTCATGTCATCAAATGTATTTGTTACAATCGTGCGAATACCCTCATCCATTTTTGCTTGTTTACTATTTTTCCAAACTTAAGATAATTCTCCCAAAAGATTCCATTTTTAAACTCACACCTTTTAAGTCAAAACTTCGACATTAGGTCGTCGTATCTTCGAAATCTCTCCAACACCGATTTTTAGCCAAACGAACCATTTTAATCAAACAAACAATTTTAAACCAAAAAACAGATATTTCAAAAGGTTCCTGCGGAGTACCGCAGATGCATTGGGTGCTAATACCTTCCCATTGCATAACCAACCCCCGAACTCTCGATCTCTTTCAAAAATGCATTGTACTTTCATTACTTTCAAGTATTATTTTACATTGCATATTTTAGGGTTTTATTTCGCTCTTTTCCCTTTTCCCTTGGAAATAATAAAGCGCGGTGGCGACTCTTGCTTTTTGCGAGTCAAGTTAATTAATAGCTTGATCTCCGATTTTCACCGCTACAGAATTGGCGACTCTGCTGGGGAAAGATTGACCTCTTGCTGGTCCATCCCTAAGTGGGTTAAGCCTAATTTGTTTTATCTGTTTTATCATTATTTGATTGTTTGATTATATGTATATATTATGATTATTTGGGTGTTGATGATATTTACAAAGGATAAGTCCTATACCCAGACTAAGTTACACTTAGGAATAGGACGGGCGGTATAGTCATGTTAACTTTGAGGGAGTAATCCCGAAGAAGGAGGCATGAGATCCCCCACTCAGTGGAAGGCCCTTTTGAACGTAATATTTGTTTACCGAGTAATCGGGAAGACATTATTATTTTCGACCTGGGAGCCAGAGAAGCTGGGAACCGTAGAACCCTAACCCATCTTGGCCTTTTAGGTGTAGCGCGGAGATTATAACGGAGTAATCCGGAAGTAATTGTTACGCGATGCTATGCTCGGATGAGTTTCTCTTGAGAATATTGCTGATTATTGAGTAATCAAGACGTTGGTAATATCCGAAGGAGGAATGTAGACTCCGGGAACTCTTAGAACCTTGTTCTACAGGTGTGAATAAACCGTTAGTACATACCTTGGGGGTGTTCCTTACCTTGACTCCATGCTCGTGATGTTGAACCTTTCGACTTTATTTGTGACCTTGCTTGTGGTTGTTGCATAGCCATGCATTCATGCATCCATAAAACCCTTTTCACTTGACTTTGAAGGAATTTGGAGGTCTTTCTTTGTAAACATCACAAGTTTCGTCAAGCTCAATGGATCTTGGGTGTTGATAGGGCGAAAACCCTAATCCACCAAAATGGATGATTGATCTTGATGATAACTTGATCAATGTTTGGAGCCAATTTAAAATTCATCTTCTATCTTCATACTTTGATGTTTACAACTTAATATCTTGAGTTCCTTGAAAATCAAATAAAAACTCTCTTTTGCATATCATACATCATTCTACATTTTTTTGTTTCACTTTCAAAGGTCTTTTTCCGAGTCTTATTTTTCCTTTGGTCTCACCAGTACAATACTCGCGCTAAGAGAACAATGGAGAATATCAAGCAAGAGGTTTCTGAACTCCGTAGAGAGATGACTAATTTGAAAGCTAGTGTGGAGCACTTAACTGGTTTGTTTGAAATTCTGGTTGCCGCCCAAGTGAATCCTTCTAGAAGGGAGGAAGCGTTGATAAAAGTATTCACTGAAACTCTAAAATCATTCTCTCATGAGAAGGTGATGGTTAACGCACCTAATGACTTTCCTGACAAGGTAAATGTGGGAGTGGGTCTAGAAGAAGATGTCTAAAAGGGATGAAGATGGTAGCTCAGCTAATGGTGTGAGGAAGTTTGATAATGACTTTTCCAAGAAGAGAACCAGAGGAAGAAATAATCATCATCAGAATCATCATGTTTCTCCCATTTATCAACAGAATCAGCAAGTTCCTAATCAGAGGAAAACCCAGTTTGATCCAATTCCAATTACCTACACAGAGTTGTTCCCTATCCTGATGCAGAGGAATTTGGTTCAGACCCGATCTCCATCGAAGGTTCCTGAGAAGATACATTGGTACTACAAAGCTGATTTGGCTTGTACCTTTCATCAAGGTGCTCCTGGGCATGACTTGGAGGGTTGCTTTGCTTTGAAGATTGAGGTTCAGAAGTTGGTCAGAAGTGGTATCTTGTCATTCAAGGACGTTGGTTTTGAAGTTCAAATCAAGCACGTGCCGAAGAGTAAACACGATTGATGGTCACGTTGAGTTTTGAAGGATGTTTTCGGTGATTCAAGTCCAGATGGAAGGCCTTCCCCGATCATTAACTTATTTCTGCTTGTTGCAATTTTTCTTGTTTATCAAAACATTGTTTGCATGTAAGAACTTGTTTGCATCTGTATGATTATCTTAATACAATGGGTATGTTTGTCTTGAAGAAATTCATTCGTTTCACTCATATTTGTTTTCAAATTTTAAATTTCTTTTGGCATTATGATACCAACTTGTTGCTCATTCTCTTGCCTAGGCAGAGATTGAAGGGAGGATGATGATCTAAAGAACACAAAATCTCTGGTTGTTTGCTTTTGGATAAAATCTTGTTGATGATGTACAGGCATTGTTTCAAATCCCTAAACACTGGAGATATAAGGAAGATAATCCCTTGCTAACCCCTTTTGAACCTTTGAAGCAGAAGTTCCTTTTCTATACGAAAAAACCTTGAATTTTAACCTGGGGCAGGGTAGTTTTTTAGTTAATCTGACTGAGTGTTCAAAATTCATAAGGAAGATGTTTTTTGAAGAGAAACTACGAGAGCTATCCTTCATGTATAATGAATCTAGAGGATGTAGAACCACAATGTTATCCCTCATTCATCAAGAAACGAGGCAATCACAATCCTCTCAACAAGCAAATGCAAGCTAATGTCACACATTTTGTTCAAAAAGTCAAAAATCGAGAAAAAAGAAAAAAAGCCTGCTAAGTCAAAAAACATGAAAACGTGTGACTTAGGCAAAATTAAGGCATCCCGCTGGACTATCAATTCAAAAGAATTAGTTCAGGCAAAAGTTAGGGAAAATAAAATTGCAAAAAAAAAGACTACAAAGAAAAGTCCTCAGCAAAAAACAAATTGGTGACTACAAACACGAAGACATGAGGGCGGTTTCTACTCCAAAAGCCTCGTCGTTTCCTTGACCGTCACAAAATCCTTTTGAGAGATGAACACTCATGTTGAATTAACTGAACATAGGGTTGGAGAACATCATGAAGAATGGGTGGGCACCAAATATTTTGAGCCTTAAAAATCTTTTTTCTAAAAAACCATGAACCAGGCCACGTTACAACCTTCAAAAGTCCTAATTGAAGCAAGATTATTTTGAAAGCATACTTCAATGAGATAGTGTTCCTGACTCCCATGAATGTTCTAAATAGTTATGTTGGTATCATATGTTTTTCCTACACAAAAATAAATGGTGCTTTAACTCGCAAAATTTGTGCGATATCTTTCAAAATCTTCAAGACTTACGTAACTGTTGCATTAGAATTTTCATTCTCATTGTAAACTTTTTCTAACTGCAAAACATTTGTTTGTTATCAAGGAAGCTCACATAAGCACCAGTGATAAGTTTATTCTTTTAAGGCCTGAAACTATGTTGAGTAATTGGCGAATCATTTCAAGAAAAAATCATATCCAGGGGCATGTCAGCTGAAGACCTTAAGCACGGGCATGTTGCTTTTCCCAGTTAATGCTTTCCCAACTTGTTTACTCTTTTGGGGCAAAAATTTGAAGACTTCGTTGTGCCAACTACAGTTAATCCGAGGCAATCAAGTCGAGATTCGATGAATCTCTCTAAGAGTTTGAAGACACCAGAGCATGGTGAATGCCAGGTCTTTTGTAAAATCCTCTTGAGACGATTTCTCCTCATCAACCATATAGCTCGGGGCATTTTAGAGGTGAAGCTATTCGCGAGAATTGTCGTGCATCACGCAACTTATCAGCAGTAAACTTGGGGCATCCAAAATTAATCCCCGGGGCAATCCAGATTTGTCAAGATATGTGATATGTGTTACACACATTATCAGAGGGTGGTGTTCCCAGTATTTCCAGCTAAGCATGACGTTTTCCAGCTGAAGCATTGTTCGTGTTGTTATCCTTTCAATGGATTGTCGACAATAGAAGACTGGACTTTGGGTTTTCTACCTGAAAATATCTTCCCCTCCAAAGAGATATTTAAGCCTTGTAAAAGGACCTTGCTCCAATGATGGCCTGTGTTTTATCTCCAGTAATGTTCCCATCCTGTTGAGATTAGCCGAGTGTTGGGTTGCGC